CTCGAGAAACATTGCTGATGGCGTGCAACGCCTAAACGCGTAGAAGCAGCAACGAAGTTTCTTCGCGGAGGAAGGTAGTCGAATGTGGGATGGAACGGCGTGCATAAGGTGCCATCCTGTGGAAAATTCGAGCCGCGGTGGCGGAATGCTCGTAAGGTACGGCGAAATGTTGGAACGACCGGGAGCCCGTTGCATTTTTATCCCGGATGGTGCCGACGCAGCAGATGAAAGCGGTTATGTCGGCTCTCTATTGCCGTCCTTTGTCTCCCCCCACCATATCCAAGACGTTCCTTAACAGCCGCGGCGACTCCATCCCCCGGACCGCTTCTCCCTCTCTGCGCCGTCATCTTTTCCGCTTCTTCCTCTTTCGCGACCTCAGAGCCAGTTCTATTTTGGATCGTCCCGAGGTATATTCAGGCACACTGGCGTACGACCAAATGCCGTGATACACCCCCGCTCGCAACACGCCGTATAACGTGTGTTGTGCCGCATGGCGAATCCCTCTAATGTTATTGCCAAACCAACCGCTCCCCTCCCTTCTTTTCCTCGCGCCGCATAATGCAGCGCCGCCGCTGCATTCCACTAAAAGCGGATTCCTCCTCCGATGTGTAAGTGCAAAGGTATTTTCTCTCTCTTTCTTCCTCTCGGTCCGATCGAGATTTGAGCGACGCGTTATTACATAATCGATATATCGATATGCGAAGTCAAAATTTATTATATTAATATAAATAAATTTTGACGTCAGCGTTGATATATAAATATTTATTCTATTAGTAAAACAAATTTCGAGAGATCGGAAACACCGCGCGCTCTGTATTTGTTCTGTATTTGTATTCTGTATTTGTCAAAATACGAGATTAATTATTATATAGAATTATGTTAACGAATTATCGTTCTCTGGCGGAGGTGGTGGATGTCAATAATTTCGCAAGGATACTAACAACGTATATACATTAAGTAACACGAGTATGTTTGCTTTTTTATTCATTTTTTATAGAATGTATGTACGCGTTTTTGATATATCGCAAATCGATATATCGATATATCGATATGCGATATATCGATTTGCGATATATCGATTTGCGATATATCGATTTGCGATATATCGATTTGCGATATATCGATTTGCGATATATCAATTTCGTTATGTTAAACACGCGTACGTACTATAAAAAATAAATAAAAAAGCGGACATACTCGTGTTACTTAATGTGTACTCGTTGTTAGTATCCTTGCGAAATTATTGACTCCCACCACCCCCACCGGAGAACGATAATTCGTTAACATAATTCTATATAATAATTAATCTCGTATTTTGACAAATACAGAATTGCGCGCGGTGTTTCCGATCTCTCGAAATTTGTTTTATTAATAGAATAAATATTTATATATCAACGCTGACGTCAAAATTTATTATATTAATTAGCTTTCGCATACACATGTACGCGATGTCGACCGGCGCCGACCTGATTTCGTGCGAAAGCGCGCGCGCGCGAGAGAGAGAGAGAGAGAGAGAGAGAGAGAAGAACAAAGATATCGATTCTTATTTCCCTTATTTTCAGATATAATTAAATTTAAACACACGGAATCTATTTCGATGACAGATTTGCGTAACACACGAGCACATTCATGTGTCTTGTTCAAATAATTGTTCAAATTGATGTATTTATAATGTACACAGCGTGTAATCAGGTTCTCTCTCGGTAACAGCTAACGCTTACGTGATAATATAATATACAGGTATGTCGTTTCATAGCGACACGTAGCGCGCGCATGACGTCGTCGCGCGTAGGTATGTATGTGTCGAAATCTCGCATGACTCGGTCTTTCACCGACTCTGCTTTGCCGCAATTTGTGTATTCAACGTGAGCAGCCTTTAGTTAATTATAGATGCGCTCGTTTCCCCTATAATGTCATTTATACAACGATATTGCATTGTGAATACACACACACGCAAGCACGCGTCTTACATTCCGCTGCTTACTTTGTTCCGCTCAAAAACCACAGCAATTCAAGGACGAAACGTGCACTTCCTTCTTTTTGGACGTTTAATGACGATTAAACCCTCAATTATTTACGATTGTCAAATTTTCACTCGCAGCCGGCGAAGCGCGAACACGGTTGAACTTTTCCAAAACTTATTAGCGATAATGTTCTCAGAGAGAGAGAGAGAGTAAGAGAAAGAGGGAGAGAACGAAAAGCAATTTGCTATAAAAGAGTAGAGCGGTAATAATTATTTATTTAACAAACCAATTTCGTACTGATTATCTTTCACGCACAGTTTCTGTGTAATATTATTATTGAAATTTAATTTTCACTTTAAATTTCTTTCCCCTTCTCCCTGTACCTACGCGTTATTTGAAATAACAATTTTTCTCGCCGATACAAATTAGCACACTGTAAGAATTTAAACAAAGACGTGACAATTCATTGGAATAAAACGAGATGTTTTATTAAAGCCGAGCGACACCCGATAATCAAATACGTCAAACCCGGCGCGGAATCGGACCCGGATAGAATCGGAAGAAGCAAGTCGCGCGCGCTCTCATATCAGTAGACTGCGGTTGTTCCGCCGTCGATTTAATTACCGATTAATCTAGACTTCTTTTGTTCCCTTTGAATAATGTCTACGTTCGCCCGACCAGAAATCGCTCGTGTATCACCGCGCTTGTTTTAATAACGACGATAAATCTCGAGTCCCACCGCCACGCCGACGGAATATTCGAGACTCCGCGCCGTTGCCTTTTTTTTCTTTCTTTCTTTTTTTTTTTTTTCGTCGTTCAGATTATTGGACTCCTCGCCAGTCTCGATGTCACGTCGATGGGACGTATTCGATTGTGCTTGAAGCCGATGATGAATCAAAGAAATCTCTCTGTGATTTAATTTCTCGTACTTAGAAAAATTGAATTAAAAAAAGAAATAAATAAATAAATCTCTCAAAATCGCCGATGTGTTTAAGCGTGTTTTTGTTTTTGTTATTGACGGAGTCAACGACAAAACTTTTTTGCGCGATGATACCGCATTAACTGCGCACAATATTCCATCACTTACGACATTGTTATTAAACGACGTTAATCCGACGTGGCGGATGTCTCGCGTTTTTTTTTTTTTTTGTGAACGCGCGAATCGATATTCTCGATATGTCGCGTCGTGGCAACAAATCACCGGGAGTGTATCATTTACTCGCGAGCGTTCCACGACGAAGTTGGTACACGACGAGGCAGCGCCTCACGGGGCCAACGGAATAGCCAACTGGGAAAATGGCAACTGACTGGGTGTAGACCGGAAATGACTACCAGCCGATAACCGGATATCTAATATCCGACCGTTTGGGTGCCGAAAAATATGAGAATCGGATAAGCCGCGCCGCGCACTGCCCAGTAACCATATTCATCGGATTGTGTGTCTTTCGCTCTCGCGACGCTGCAAAAATTTTCGGTATCCGCCGAAAAACCGAACGTTCTATATATTTTTAGAAGAAAATCTTACGGAATGAACGGAGAAATGTCGGGCGACTTGAGAAAAGAATTTTTTCAACTAGTGTTTTTCACGGAAAGAAAATCGTGACTTTTTTTTCGCGATCTCATCGTTTTTGCCTCGACCGGCGATTGGATCGCTCGATAATTGAGTAATTGTTTTGCAGCGATTCTCTGTGTCAGTTTTCAAGATGTAATGATGATCGAACTTGAAACTGATGCCGCGACACTAATCGACAAAATGCGAACACAATCGAACTTCACCCAAAACTTATTATCGATGATGTTCCTAAAGTAAGAAACTTCGCTGCGAACGCAACAAAATTATGTAAAACGGAGAACAAACAATTACAGAGAATTATTTATTACTCAGCTAAAAACAAATATGTTTGAATATTCCTTTCCCTCATTCGATGTGTCCGCATTTGCAAACTTTTTGTTGAAACAAAAAAAAAAAGAGAATCGTGTTGCAATAACGTACATAAATCAAATGCTCTCAGCGAGTAAAACATTTGCTGTAACAGAGGCATGTGAATAGGCGTATGTACGTCCCGCTTTGCAATTATAGCAAAACAATTTGAATGTTTTGTTTTTCGCAGAATGAGACGAGAAAAATAAACGCGCGCGCGCGAAAGAGAGAGACGGACTAATCGCGAGTGACGCGCTATCGCGCCCCGGTATCGATGATAATTAATAATAATTGCGTGCCGCTCGAGTAATCGAGCATCCATTAGCGCCATTACGCCCGTCGTCGCGTTAGCACGCCGTTCACGCGCGCGCGCGCGCGCCGCATGTTCTCGCTCTTCCGCCCTATTAACTTTATTATCATCATCGCGTTGTAATGTATTATTATATATTACGACACGCGTTACGTGATCGAGATGTACGCGCGCGCGCGCTCCCCGGAAAGAGGATGGGGGAAAGTAAGTAAGTCGCATATAGCGGTCGAGAAACGCGACTGATTTACGCGAGGCAAGTGCGCGTTCCGCGCGAGCCTTCTCCGATTTTAAGACGGCCCGTGTCGCGTCGCACATTTGCGCTCTCACGTATCGACTAAATGACGCCACCCTGACAAATGTCGCGTCATCAATGGCGTCTGGCAACTTTACGCTCCTCGACGACTATTATCGAGCGCACTTTCTCTCTCTCTCTCTCTCTCTCTCTCTTTCTCTCTCCGCGCGTCTTGCTAGAGTTCGCACACCGACGGAAGATCTCTCTCTCTCTCTCTCTCTCTCTCTATCTATAGTTCCGCGAATCTCCGCATTTCTCAAGCTCCTATTTACCCCGAGAGATGTTTCCGCACACGAGAATGAGGATGAAGATATCGTCGCGCCGACACGTTGGAAATTCTGGGATTTTCGTCCGCACGCTCGCGACGCGAGATTTATTTTTCGAGAATTTCGAAGCCACAATTGTGCGTCGCAAAGCCGAGATTTTTCATCATGTGCTTCGAATAGCGCAAATTATATAACTTATGAACATGATAATTTGATTCAATAAATATGAACCCTTGTGATTTCACAGGTCTCGTGGATGAGAAGCAGAGATCTTCACGTGCTCACCACGGAACATTTTGTCTTCAGCTCGGATACGCGATTCGAGCTCCAGCACACGAGAGGCAGCGACGCCTGGACTCTCCGGCTGAATAACGCCAGAAAGACGGATTCTGGCAAGTACGAGTGCCAGGTCAATACCGACCCGAAGATCATGTATGCGGTGCAGCTCTCCGTGCGAGGTGATTGTCGTTTTCCGACTTCGCATAATTTGTTCGCTCCCCGTAGCGGCAATTTGCAATGGAAATATTTTACATCACATATATTATTGTTGCACTCAAGTCGCAACTCTCGTTTGAACATTTTCGTGAGATTAAACACGAGACAAAACGCGTAGCGACGAAATAAGAGAAACACGCCAAAGAGAGATCAGAGATAATTGTTTTTCAAAATAATCTCTTTTTTAAATTAACGAGAAGAAATGACTTATATATTTGTTGCGCGGTAAAAACAATGCGATAAGACGGCGCATTTTTTGTTGTTTTTTTTTTTTTATTTTCCAGATCCGGATAAACCGGAAGGTTACGACGAGCCGCATTCACAGCAGACGCGTATAAGTAAGTGTACACCGTTGGACGTGACGCGTATTTCTGGCCCGCCACGTTTGTGTGACACACGTGAGCGTGACGTTTCCTTTTAGTTCCAGTTCACACCGATCGGATCTCGTGTATTTAAAGACACGACCAGAGAGGTCGGTTGATATTACGCGCCCCGGTGATGCGCGGGAATATACAGTTTCTCATATTAAAAACCAATCGGTTAACAATATGAAATAAATTTTTTACACGCGAATGAATCCGATTCGCGAGAATAGAGAATTTGATGTTTGCTCCCTCACATTTTCCCGCGGTGTGTTTTACTGAATAAAACATCGATTAGAGAGAACAATATAAAAATTCTATTAAAAAATTATATTGTTTTAAATCCCGTTTAAAAGAAACAAAAAAAAAAAAAATGTTTGTCGATGTTTAATATATGAATCTCGCGTGTGACGAGAGACAATCGGAATTAATTAAAAAATCCATCTATACGCGGCCGGGGTATTTGCATTTTTGTTGTGATTCTAATTCACCGACGCCGAAACTTATTTTATTGTACCCGCGCGATTCTGTGATATCAGCGATAATATATTTTGCGCGGACTTGCATAATTAATTTCTCGCGTAATCAGCATTAGCCGAATCGGGTTTGTGGGTGTGTGTATGTATAAAACGACCTGTATCGCGGGCCGGTTTGAAAATTATTATATCATGCAAATTATTTTATGAATTTCTTGATCGGCGCGGAAACTCGAACAAGCGTATAAAAATTATGCAATCAAAACTTCGCGGAAAAGTTTCGCGGACTAGTCGGATGAGATGCGGACTATTTTTTTTTCTCTCTCTCCCTCTCTCTCTCTCTCTCTCTCTCTTCTTCCTTTCCGTTCACTTCTGAAATTTTATTTGCGCGCCGCAATGGATTATAAACAAAACGAAATAAAACAAACGCGCAACAAACGTTACCCTCCCTCAATGAAAATTTTCACCGGTATAAATGGCCTCGGGCGCAAAGATTGACCCAGTTTATCCCAAGGGAGGATTTAAAAATATAACTTTCATCGCCCGAGCGACTGGCAATTTCCGCTTTTGTTTTACCACTTCGGAAAGTAGCGGCGACCGAGAGCACCGGTTGAATCGTCGTTAAGATTGCATCAGTTGGAAAAAGCGGCGATTAATCAGCCGCGCCGAGGTACAGCGCTAAGCTTGCTGATAATTATCAGGCAAAGAAAGCGCGTTTTCTTGTAATACAATCATTACAAATGTAACGTATCACTGTCGCCATTAATTCTGTTTTTGGTATTTCACCACGGGGGCGCGACGTAAGTAACATGATTAATGCAGCGAGAGAGAAGGCGCGTCGCGGCGTTACTTCTTCGAGAGAGAGTCATATTTGCCGGTCGCGTCGAAGTTTTAATCAACAATATTTGATTAACCAAAAGGTCGTGCGTGTTTTCACTGTTTTATCGATTTTTTTCGGATCTCGATAACACGCGAGGTTGTGATTGGTTTTAATTTTTCATTCAACGACTCGCATGTTTTATCACACATTTTGTTTGGTAACCACGTATCGGAACTTCTAAGTTCTCTTGCCGGTCACATGACCGATATATCCTCCAAATCCCTCGCGACCTGTGCATGCGGCAGCAGCAGCGCTCCATAGGTCGAGAGATTATGTTGAGCTTTTACGAGTGGCATTACGACATATGTACGTTCAGAAGTTGCGTGATGTCTGTTTACCGCGTTCTGGACGCTCTCGGTGTGGCGAACTTTTGGACGGGCAAACAGCCCGTTATTTCTGTTGTTCGGTCTAAATACTCCAAGAAACTCCACGCTGCGCGCGAGTCTATTATATGAGTTTATTGCCGTATCTGCGTTTACGGCGCGCACGTATATATGAAGTCGCAAACTACTTCGTCCATTTCGAGGATCTAATTCGCATATCGCTGATATTCTCGAAGGAGAAATTTTCGGCTTTTAATCGCGTCGAGTAACTTCTTTTGAAAAAAAAAAAAATATAGAAAATATTTATATCGGACAAAAACTCCGATTCTCTCACACCGTATGTACGCCGAATAAAAAAAATCATTTAAAAGCTGTTTTTTTTTTTTTTTTTTTTCCGGCGAAACGACATCAATCACTTAAGGATAAGTGCGACATCGTCCTGGCTTTGACGCTCGTGATCCGTCGATTCTTCTTGCGAACTTTCTTTCAGCCGCTTCATAATTCTTTTTAAGTAACGTCGTCTTCTCTCTTGACGCTTTCGACGTTCCTGAATTTACGCTTTTTCGTTTACGTCGGAACGACAGATTACGAGAAGCCGGCGCGCGGTTCTCTCCCTCGTCAAACCGCGCTCTTGACACGTCGCTCAAAATCAGTGACAAAAACTCGCAAATCGTCCGGCGAAAGTTGACGCTTCGTCTCTCAATTATTCTCCCTTATCTCGCGAATATATACAAAATTTTTCACAAACCGCGATGTGTATGTATGTGTGCGAGAGAGAGAGAGAGAGAGAGAGAGAGAGGCAGAGAGAGACAGAGTTTAATTATTCCTCAAGGGGCACATTCTCTACTTGAATATTCTTCGAGCCGTTTTCAGTAGTTCCATCACTTTAATAGTGAAGTTGCGGCCATGAATATTTCTTTCCGCGTATCACGACGCGTTTCTCCACCTCCTCGGTCTCTCGCTTAGAGAGAACACACACACACACACTCTCTCTCTCTCTCTTTCTCTCCACGCAGTTTCGCCCAACTAATAAATATACTCGCGCCAACTTTGCTCTTGCCGTTGTTCGCGATATACGCGGGACGTAAAGATGGTCACAGATCGCTGCCAGCTATATTGTCAAAGTTTCACAACAGATAAATAAGGAAGAAACAAAGCAAAAGGAGGAGGAAAATTCAACGCGCGCCGTGCATGTATGCAAATAATAATGTGACGTAACGGAGCGGTAAATTTTTCTTCCGCTCGCGCCCAGAATGTTTTCTTCTCGTGTTCTACAATAGAAAAATAACTTGTTGTGTTTATTACAATTAATGACTGTCATATCAAAAACAAAAACAAAACAATCTAAAAAGACGCGCGCGTTTGTTATATCTCTCACCCTTTTGATACACCCGACATACGAAATTTTTTTTTTTAAGAAATGTCACTCGAAAAAGGCGCAGGGAGGATTCGCGAGAGAATTTATCCGCAAAGTTTTCCGTCAACAAAAAGACGAGCTGGACCCGCCGCGGAAAGAAACGTCGGCGAGCGAGTTTACAGTAATAACAGCATAACATAATATTTCGCTAGAGGGAACGCAGTCGTCGCCGGATTCATTTAAGTCTAATAGGATTATCCTTAATCCCGCGGTCCCGCCGCGGCTTCTTCGTATCCTTTTCTTCGTCGGCCACCGAGAGAGTTCAGAGTTCTAAGGGATAGGGAACGGGCCGAGCGCTAAATGAGTCTCGGCCGCAGTTCTCGTGCTGAATAATGTATACGCGCCTCGATATTTTTATACAGAGACAGAGAACCCTACTTTCAGGGCGTTTCTCTCTCTCTCTCTCTCTCTCTCTCTCTCTCTCTCTCTCTCTCTCGAAGATAATGATAAATTATTAATTTCGCTTTCAAGACGCAGTCGACGACCGCGGAGAATATGTAATTTCCGATAATTATCGGAAGTACGAGTTAATTTGATGTCTTTTTTTTTCTAAAGTTTATTCACAAGAAAAAAACATACAAATACAAGCTTACTGTTTCAAATATTATATTACTTCCGACGATTCTCGCTCTATTTAACGGAAAGCTGACAAATCCCCTTGCGGAAGAAACTCGAAGGTCTTAAGTAGATAAAGTAGTATTATGCTTTTTCGAACTTCGTCCTCGACTGTTTTAAGACGTACAACCTTTAGGCGATGTCGAAGCTAGTTTACTTTGAAATAAGTAAATATATATAAATTATATATATAACGCAACGCACATACATACACACACACACACACACACTTTCGATGCATCTCAATTCTCCAATTATATACGTCGCTACTCTCTTTTTTGTGAGGAATATGCAATTTCCAGAGACTTGACGGTGATTCTTGACTGCAGAGAAAGGAAGTAGCGGAGCGCGCGCATTATTCTCGACAAATGGCAACTACAAATATACGACGCTATTGTAAAAGGAAAATGAGGCTTCGTTATACGTCAAGCGCGCGCGACTAGATTCGTAACAGTAGGGTTAGGAGGGGGAGGAGAGGAGGGAAGCGCTCTTTCGCAATTTATCGTATGTGTAATGGGGAGCCGAAGAGTTTTCGAGCCGGAGGTAATTTACGGTACACTTTGTAAAAAGCCGATGCGCGCGGTCGCGGGAACGTGGTGTGGTTCGCGCATTAAAACGAGTACTTGTCTCTCTCCGCTGTACACCGCTTTCTAAATTAAAAATGTACAAGCTTGACAGTATATCTACGTGCGAGCGTGTTATACTATGCGTTTTTTGCTACTTCAGCGTACTCTACTTTGTGCCGCGTCGGCGGCGGCGCAACGAAAGTGGATATAACGCTGGCATTAATTAAAATCATTGCATAACATTCGTCGAGTGTTCTTGATGGCGCGCGCGAGCTAAAGCGGCCCACTCTCCCTCTCTTCGCGTTGCCCGAGCGTTTCCTTTCGCTCGTGTGTATAGGGTAGGGTCTAGTGCGTTAATCCCCCCGACGCGCTCTCGCGATATTAAAACCCGGGACGGATTGCGTCAATTAGAGGGTATTCGCGATACACGACGACGTCACGCTCGTCCCCGCGACGTTGTCAATTAAAAACGATTGCAAATCCTTTTTCGCGTCGCCGCCGCCGCGTTTGTTCGCCGTCCTTTTCGACATCGCCGAGATTTAACAAAAGCCTCTTTACGAATCGAAGTGAAACAATGTGCACGCAAGAAAACCCGAGAGCGTTGTTGTCGTTCGCGGAGTTGCAGTTCTCCGAGAGAGCGAAATAAATGACATCAAAAATTCAAAGCTGAACGATCGACCGTTTTTTTGTTCAAGCCAATCATCGTTCGAACACGGCGGCGGTCGGATACAGGTTCCCTCTTTCGGTCGGTCAATCAGTTATTTGATCTGTGATCTTCGTGCGTTAATACAAATGGAATTCTCCTCCGGGGGAATTCCATTTGAATTTTCCAAGACTCGGTCGGGAAATTCAAGCGGTCAGTGGTCGTATCACGTGGCCGCCCGTCGGATATGCGCGTAATCTCGTCACGACGCGGTCATTCAATTGCTTCAGCCACCGCATGATATTTGTCCGAACATGACTTCCAGGTTATGAGAGCACGGCGCCGGTAGCGGACATAATAGGTCCTCAGGAGCAAAGGGTGCCGTCGGGCTCAACGATCACCCTGAGGTGCGTCATATCGTCGCCGTATCAGATCCGTCCCATCAGGGGTGTACAATGGCTTCGGGATAACAAACTCCTAACATTCCAGGTAATGCAACCTCAGCTGGATACGCGGGACCCAGGCTCTAATGAAATTTCTGTTTGACGACCGGGGGAATCGAAGGGAGACGGGGAGACGGGGAGGAGGAGGAGGAGGAGGAGAAGGGGGTGGAAAAAACGGGACGCTCGTATATCATCGCGTTCCCCGCGTCGACCGCGCGCGCGAGAGAGAAGATGTGGGTCATATGGCTCTCATTTCTGTCGTGTCTTTCACATTTTTGTAGCCTGCGTCGGCTGTTTCTTTCGCGCGCGGTATATACACGCGCGAGTGACGGCTAGACTCTAGGGGGTAGGGGGCTGATCGATTCGGGCGACGCGGTTTTGTTGCGAAGACCGCGTCGGCGATTATCGCGTCGCGGCTCACAATGTGATACTGGCGCGTCCCCCACGTCAGCGCGCGACGCGACGTCTCTCGCAGCATCGATCGGAAAAGCTTTACGTGTAGCTTTCGCCGCGTAACAATATTCTCTGAACATATATATGTATATTTGTTCGTTTTTCTCCGCATTTGATTTATTAAAACTTTCTGTAAATTTGAACAAAAAATAAATTTACGCAACACGCACGAGTAGGTTCACATTTGTTTCATTAATCCAAGTGGTAACGAGCGTGCGGTATCATCGTATTTGATACGCGCGAAAATTCAGATTTGACTCTCGAAATATAACGAAACTCTTCTCCGCGTTTTGATACGCGCGCGCGCGCAAAATGTGATACGCGAGAGCTCGTATTTCTTCGAAGTTTCATCATAAATACATCACGAATCGCGCAACCATAACATATGGAATATCTTCGTATTACATTTTATAGAAACAAAAGAGATTTATCGGTTTTTATTCGGATTCGCGCGTGTATGAGATTTCCGGCTAAACGGACGGATCCGTGCAAATATTCTGAATTATGAAAACTTCTGTATGTAACATTTCGAACGCTCTATTACTCGCTTCATTGCTTCTCTTCCTGTTTTCTCACCATCTAGGCGCGCAGAGGAATAACCGTGGAGACCGTGAGAGGTGCGGCGAATACGGAGTCCATGTTGATCCTGGCGACGGTGACGCAAGACGACGTCGGAAACTACACGTGCAGACCGACGGAGGGTCGATCTGACAGTGTCACCTTGATCGTTGAAGAAGGTTAGTGTTGCTCTCAACAAATAAATTTATTCCAAAACTTATTCCTTTACGGCGATGACAAGTGTCTCTCGAATCAGCAGATTCGCGCGCGCGAACGTTGGTGGTCGGTCGTTTGATTTTTTTTTTTGCTCGAAATGTGAACGAACGGAACGGAAAGAAAAACTTTTGCGCTAACTGGATACTACATTTTTACGACAGACACGATGATATAATAATAATGACAGTACACTTGTGCGTCTTGTAATCTTCCGGGAAATCTCCGGCTGTCGCCGGATGTGCCGGAAACTCACCGCGGGCGCGCGCGCGCCGATATTCCATTTCCTTTCGCGCTCTCTCTTGCGCGTATCCTCCGCGGGGTACAACCCATGATGTAAAGTCGTGCCTTAGGATTACTCGAAACACTTTAAAGTTTTAAAGAGGCAGCGGTATTTTACGCCGGAGCTATTTGTCTAGCTCAGCCACTCGGTCGCCGCGGATGAAAAGGAACGGAAAAGACGGGGGGAGAGGAAAGCGAAGGGGTGGAAAAGACGGAAGACCCGTTCGCTCGCGCTCTCGGGAGCGCGCGTGTATTCTTGAGGCGCGAGACGGGACGGGAGGGGGGGAATGTCCGAGGGACGAGGAATCGCGGATGGAGAGAAATTGCCGGGTTCACAGGTAGAAGGTGACGAAGAGCGAGTAGTACGGAACCTCCCGAGAGAAAGGAAGAAACTCGCGGAGAGAGATGAGCGAGAGCGTTGTGCAGAGATTCTCGCGCGTTTTCTTCTCTTTCTCTCTCTCTCTCTTTCTCTCTCTTTCTCTCCGTTCAAGCTCCGTTGCGCAATGTATCTGTTTTGCTTTTATTTTTGAAAATTGAAAGAATGGATGCGGAAAAAGAAAGAAAAACGGAGGATGTTTTAAGCACAGCCGATAAAACCGAGGAAAGAAGAAGAATACGTCAACGAGATAAGATTTCTGTTTATTCCTTTCCTCTCGCCTATAAATCGCGCGTTTTTAGCGCGCATTTCTCAGCGTGCTAAGTGTAGAAATTCGGATATCTATTTTTCCGTCAGCTGTTTTCTTCCCCCGGACGGAAGTTGAACCTTTCGAGAATTTTCTCTTCGCGCGCATATCATTCGCCGAGGAGAAGAAACACGCGGAGAAGACCGCGGGAAAAATAATCTGAGCCGAGCGAGGAAATATACGAAAATTATGAAGGCATCGGCGAAAACTGAAAAGTGTGTGAGAACACGCCGGCTGAAATGGAGCGAATGGCACGGAAAAGGACGGAGGCAACGCTTTTTCACGGGGAGAGAATCGCGGGGGGGAAGGACGCTTGCATGCGGAAATTCACGCGGTTGTAGTCTCTATTATCGTGAATTTCCCTTCGGAGATTATTGCGAGAGGAAAGCGCCGCCCGAGGTGGCGTCGCATTTTTCCCCGGTCGTCGTGCAGCACGCGTGCGCGCTCCGGCCATGCGCTATCTGTCCCCGCCGTGTCTATCCGCACGCGAAACGCGCCCCGTGCGACCATAAATCAGAACTTAGACGACTCGCGGCCTCGTAGATTGCGGATTTACGCCGGTTTATGCGCCCCGGCGTTGGAAAGCACCCCGGCGGTAACTAAGCGAAGTGCATCGCGCGATTTTTACGATAGTGATATCGAACGTAAATGCCGCGAAAAGTACACGGAAGTGAATATCGCGCAGCCTTCGGGACTCGAAAGTATAATAAAGTTAGTATATAAATTTCCCATTTTTTTTTTTACACAATAAAAAACATTTTTCCAGAAATTCTACAAGACAAGTTGTCTTGTGTGCTAAAAGTAAAACAACTATTTGCAATATATTTTTCGAAGAATTGCAACTGCGGAAAAAGAAAATTACTTTGTAAGATTGCGTCGCAATATTTTTTTTTTTTTTTGCGCTGATATAAGGAGCTTATTACGTTTTAATAGAATAATATCCAACGTAAAACTGTGAGGGAAAGATAATGACGTTATACGTAATTTACCTCAAAATCTCTTATTATTATTTATACTGTGGTAAACACGATATAAATACTGCAAACACTCTTATTCCCGTGTCAGGGACCTTCGTGTGTGTGCGCGCGTGCGCGCGTGTTGGAGCAAATCTCCTGGAGAACGTTAGAATTAATTCGCTCCGCGGAGAGCCGAGCCGCATAAAATGAACATTTCTTCGTTACACCGGCATAAATTTTGCACGTCGAGAGAGAGACAAGAAAATATATATATTTGCACTCTTTATTATGTTTTTTTTTTATTTTTATTTACTCTCGCGCGAAGACGATTATTGCGACAAAATTCGTCACATCGAGGTCGGTGCGTTGAGATCCGCTCGAAAAAAAAAATTCGAGTCACACCCGCTCAAAAGAAAAGAATTGCGCTTCGCGGCGCGAGCATAATGGAGTTTTTGATATTCGCCGCGCGAAAAACCGAATCCCGGAGACCCTTGATTCCGAGTCACTTTGCAATAGCACTTCACTCACGTGTGTACATCGCGCGCGATACATCAACCGCAGGCATGTGCGATACGTGTACAGCTCTCTGGCGGAGCCACGCGAGAGCCGCCCTCCCCTTCCCCCGGACGATAAATCAGAAGTCCGGCCGCTCGTTTTCTAGTTTTTTTTCGCAGATTGCGAATTCGCGCGGAGTTTATCGGCGCGGACAAGTCCTGAAGGAAGTGCCATCCCGATGGGGATTAAACGGAACAGCGAGCATTTTTATGAGCGCACCGACACGAAAATACTACTTCCGGACTGACGTGCGAACATCATGCGCGCGCGCGCGCGCGCGACTCCTCTTCGATCGAAATCAACAATTCGCGTATTGGTCGACACAAAAAAAAAAAAAAAAAAAAAANACGGCGCGAACGATAAAATGTGACGTGGAGAACTTTGCTCCCTTTCGGTCGTGGATTATATACCGCTCGGGATTGAAAATACAATTGCAATGTTGTCGTAAATACTTCGCCGTGATTTCTCGAGAATCGTCTGGAGCAGTTTTAAAAACTGGTTTCCGAGGCAGCGCACGGTTTCGCTCCGCACAATAACCGTCGATCCGGCGAGATCGTATCAAAACTTTACGTTCAATCTTATCGGAGGAACGCGATGAGGAGGAAAACTTTTCCGCCGTCTCGGGAATGCCGCGGGAATACACACACTCGGATATAATTGATGATCCTGAGCGATTAATTATCGGGCGTCGAGATGGATGCTCTCGCGATCGAGATTGAACTTGATAATTATTGTCGCTCGCGAAATTAGAAGAGTTGAATCGGGGAATTGTTAAAAAGCTCCGCGTCACCGGTTAAAAACCTTCAAATTCCTCCGTACAATGGGACGAGAACCCGCGGGCGGAAGTATTTTATTGGATTTTATTGGCACGGGTGTTGATTCGATTAACAATTTAGCGAACGCGCTCCGAAAATATGAAAGCGCCACGCGAGAGATTCGAGTATAGAGAAAGAGAGAGACTCGAACTACACGTTGAAACGTTTTTGCGCGAGGTTTTGGCTCGGGTCCGATCGATTCGTCCTTCGAACTAATAAACGCCGCACTAATTAAAATACCGATGTGGATACTGGCGGTGGATAATTAATAAAAGTTGATTATGTACGACGACAAAAATTAATGCAAAAAAATATCATTGAGCTTTTGCTGACACACACGCGCGCGCGCACGAATTCGATTTCCGTCGTCGTTTGACCGGAATCGCTGTCGCGCATGCAAGACGGGCTCTTTTCGTCGTTGCGTGAGTCATCTCTTCGAGTATCCGCTCCACGTTTCCGTCGAGCATTCGTGCAATAAGAAGCGCCATTTGCGCGCGATTTGTCGAAAGCGGCGCGGGATTTAACGACTTTTGAGGAAGCCAATGCATCGGACGCAAAAACGTTCTCGAGAGCGCAGCGGTGCCTGCAGTCCGCGGCTGGTGATGCCGCGTTTTTTGTCCTTTCCCCGAGGTAGAGGGATGGGCTTTGGCGGCCGTCTGAGCTAATTCTTATGCGATCGTAAATAATGTCGCGCATATATCAAAACTTACAGCGACTCCCCATCCCGGAGTCGCAGTCGACGTCGCCATCTCCTGCGGCAGTTCCGTGTCTCACCCGTCCCTCCCCCGTCTCACCCTCACCTGCATCCCCTTGTCGTTCTCCTCCTCTATCCATGGCGCGTCGCGCCTCTTTCTCCGAGTTCTACTGGCCTCGTGCGAGACATACATCCCGCGAGATCCCTCCGTCTTTCTTTCCCCCCCGTTAGACTCGAGCAGCGCGGCACTTATGGTCGGTCAGATTAAAGATACAATTTCCCGATTCTATTAATTAAGAAAGTTAATTACGACGAAGTTCAATTTTCCTAATTGCACACATCGCCGAGTTTTCACGCCGCTTGTGCGCCAAGCGACGGGATCCTGTTCCGTTCGCGGGAAGCTTATCCCGGCTCCGTCCCGAATGGCGTAGACTGCCAAGAGGAGAGAGTCAAGGGTTTCTCTCGTCGGAAGTTCTTTCTCTCTCTCTCTCTCTCTTGACCTATTTTAATTTCACTATCTCGATTCACGGGCGGATCCTCCTTTCCTTTTGTTTCTCTTTTTTTTTTTTCGGGTTTGTCTCTTCGAGCCGCCCGCTTCGAGTCTCGCAACTGTGACTGCGGACTTTTCGAGGACGTATCTCCGAAAGAAAGGTGGCGGCAAGTCGTATTTAATTCTTGAGAAGCTTTTTTTTTTTTTTTTTGTCGTCAAAACCGGTTTTGCATAGTCTCTCTCCGCGCAGGAGCGACGGAATGACATTTACATCGCAAATAATTGCGACGCTCACGGAGAACCGAGTCCGATGAGGAATCGATCAAAGTCACCGACAGACGCGGGAGTTAAGTATCGCTCTGTAAATCGCGCGAGACACACGCACAGGTGTCTCCGTGTGTCCGTGTGGCGCGCGAGTTACAATATCACTTTCCGACATTCAGCGAATCCCTGGTGCCTCGCTAGCCGTCGCCGGCTTCAAGTCCAGACGATTCATGGACATACTCGCAGGATATTTTAAATATATATCGAGCACGACGGACTGCGGAAGTTTGCAGAGAGTTTAATACCTAACGGCTCCCCAGACTGTCGTTTATAGCCGGGGCTCCGAACTCTCTCTCTCTCTCCTCTCGCACCTTATCTCGCTCTCCCCGTTCCTCTCGCGGGAGATTTGTCGCGTGTTCTCTTAACCGTGCAATATTATTAAATCTCATAGTCTCTCCGAGATATACACCCACGAGCGAAGTGAAATCCATCCGCGGATCTTCTCCGTCTTGCTAATTTTTCATCCGTTGCGCGGCGCGACGAGAGTTTTTTTTTTTTGCGGACTCTATATCCGTTTATGTCGCGCGAATACGACAACGCGACGCACTTTAATGGACGAGATATTCACCGAGCCGATTAAATCGCCGCGATTATATCCGGCACGGATTGTGTAACAAATCGGCAACAAAATCGGATTTGCGCGATCGTGATATTTTTCCGTTTTCTTTTTCGCGCGATAATAACCTGTTCGAGATCCGTGTCGGCGATTGCAAAGTTCAAAGTGTGTTTTCCGACCGTGCGCGTAAATCTCTCATAAAAGAAACAAATCGCGCGTCCATTATCCGAACATCTCCATTTTTACATGCAACTTCGCGGCACGTTCGTCTCGCCTCAGACGACGTTTAACTCTCCGAGGCCAGCGGACAGTTTCCTGAGACGGTGTCTAAGGAACCGGCAAAGGCGAGCGGACGGACGGACGGGCGGGCGGGCTAAAGTGCAACTTACTTGCGAACTTCTTGCGACCGTAAATCACAATGATTTCGCGCTGGGCTTAATGCAAACACGTCCGCGCTTATTGTGTGTCGGTGCGCTTCGTGAAACAAAAAAAAAAAAAAAATCGAATCGGCAATTATAAACGGTGCACGCGTGCCGAATGAAATTAACGCTCGAATGGAGCAATTATTACGGTTGTCCGATAACTATATTTGCCGATACGTAACATCGCGTTGCACTTTATTTTTTATTTTTTATTTTTTTGACCCGTTTGAACCTTTCGCGCGACAATCGCGTACTTCTTCCCGTCTTCTAAGTCGGTTGTTTCAGAGGGAAAAAAACTTATTGATATTTCCCTCACGAGGGAAATTATTTGCTTAGCTACATCCTCGCCCATCGTTCGCCATCGCACGGATTAAAAATTAATTTTTAATTTTGCACTCGCGCTCTCAAACTCGATAATCAATCCCATTATAATTAAGAGCCTGTTATTTTATAATATAACGCGATCGCGAGTTTTTGAAAAGCTTACGCGAGTGGGTGTACGCGCGGCGCTGAATAATAAAAGATCCGCTGAAATATTTGACAAAATAAAACATTAACGAGGGGAATATTGCTCTGTTTTTTTAATCGGAAAAAACGCGCACGTACGTATAGAACAAAAAAAAAAAAAAAAAAAAAAAAATACACACAACCGGTAATCTCTTCGACGAACGCGCGATGTTTGATAAATTTCTAATAAAATAGTTGTATGCCGCGTGTAATGTGTATTTTTTTTTCCACGTGCGTCGCTGATTTAAACGATTCAATGCCGCTAGGTCGCGGTAACGCGGCAATACGATTACGCGTACGTGGTTTGCACATAGCCGGATTGTTCATGAGGTGTTAAATAGATATCGATCGTCAAGTGTTGCTTTGTGTGCGCGCGATCACGAATCACGAGCAATAGATCTCCCGGGCGACGCTCTCTCGACGGAGCGATGCACGTGCAAAAGAGATTTTGCTTGTCCGTACATAGGCCAACGCATGCGCAGCGCACAGTTATGACGCGTATGCGTGCCACGCGTACGTACGCGTGTCGCATTCCCGGAACGCACACACGCCCGCACGCACTCACTCACGCATCGCGGCGTACACACACGGGGATGGTGGTCGCATGTAAATGCGATTCATACGGTTAATGACGTGGCTTTCGTACGAATACCTGATCGGACGCATACCCGGCTGTACGCAGGCATGCGTGTATTGTCGCCCGAATTCTGGAGATATCGTCATTGATAGCGCGCGCACAACCGATCGCTATCGATCCTCATCGAATTCTGCTCTGATAATTACCGCTTTATCAACGTAAACGTTTCGATGTAACGTGCAGGTAATGCGAAAACGTTTATCGGAAACTTCAACAGGTTGCCATCAACAATATATACTTACGGCGTAGCACAATGCGCGCGTTGCAAAGTCAAAATTAATTATCCAAATGATTTATTTGTAACGCGTGCGGAAGAACGTATTAAAAATTCGTCGCAGAGACCGATAAAGTATGGATATGCTCGCAATCGGCATCGAATCGATTCGCATTGACTCGCGCGGCAAAGTGAATTTAAATCTCGTAACGCGCGCTGTGTGACTCGCATCAAGAAATTAATAATTAATCGGACACGCTAGTATGAGTTCGTACACACACACACACACACGCGCGCGCGCGCGCGCGCTCGCTCGTACGAACCCCCCAGACGTTGGTCGAATATTGATGATGTGGCGCTCGTGCGGTATGACCGATCATATCGATACTTCACGCTACTGAATACTATGCGGTTTATCGAGATGGAATTCTACCGGCGGCACTTGTGCGCAGGTCGGTCTAATACGGCCTGTTACTACTATTGGCCACTCAAATCAAGCGTCATTTTGATCAGCAATGTTGCGATACCGAGCCGAGTGACACGCAAGTAATTCGAGCAAGTTTATCGGAATTCTCTTGCGGAGAATTTTAACAAAAAAAAAAAATAACAGTCACCTGAGTTGGCAGTCATACATTCGCAATTGAAGGATCGAGTTTGCGCATAATCAGAGAAGTCGTTGAGAGCGTAATTTTAGAAAGCGTATAAAGTACCGCGCAAGAGCGTAAGAGAAGCGTTGGTTGAAGAAAACCGCAATGAGGACGCGATTGGAATTTGAAGAGGTAAGATTTCTTGGTCATTAAGACTTTGACTACTTTCTTGCCAACGACGCGATCGAATATAGACGCAATGCGCGTGAACGCAAAATGATTTTCGCGAGATCAAAGCGCGCAGAACGTTTACCATCGCCAACGTTGCGAAGTAATTTACGCGCGCGATACACAGATCCGAAATATCATTTGCGATCCAGTTTTTTTTTTTTTTTGCGCCGACAAACGGTCGTAGATGTTTCCATCGCTTTGATATTAAATCCTTGCAAAAGCTACGTCACATCTTTCATCCAACATGTGTGTATGTTGGTTGGTGTGTATGTTCAATACCGGCGTGTAACAACCTTTCGGTCGATTTAAGGAAACTGTTGTGCAAAAGATAATTCGGATTGATTGAGCGCGACGCCTTGGACGCAACGCCGATTCATCGATCGACGCAACATTGTGTCGAGCTTAAATAGCGGAGAATGAAGAAACGATGTAGAAACACGTATCGACATCCCTCAAACAACGCAATAATTAATGGATCCCTTGTAACTCACAGTAAAACCCATAATCCCGTAATCTTGAAGCGACGTTGATTTACGAGTTGGGTGGGTGGTGTCATTATTCTCAAAAAGTATCAAGATAACATATATATATATATATATATATATATATAAAATATATATACATATATATTTTATATATATATTTTATATATATATATATATATATTTCTTCCAACATACACACGTGCGAGAGATAGCCGGAGATTTAACGTCCTAATACGGCAATTTTTCAACGTCTGCGAGGCGCTTTTACCGATATGACGCTCATTAGATTACATCAAGCTGAAAGCTGCGTTAATTCGATATCGCGCTCGTAAATATTCATACGACAATTACGCGATATCCGCCGCCGCGATACACGTACGGCTGACGACTGACACTTGATTTCCTCCTTCTCTCCCTCTCTCTCTCTCTCTTTCTCTCTCTCTCTTCTTTTTTTGCCTTTCTGTTACAGGAGAACGCACGGAAGCCATGCAACGTGACGCCGGATACGTCTCCTCCGGAAGTGGCGTCAGGCACTGGCCCGGACTTCTGCTTCCGTTTTCGTGGCTTCTAATACTCGCGCGAAACCGCCAAACTTTCTTGCACTAGCGCACCACACCCAGACAGTATTTCACGCTTACTTCTTGTCGTTTCCAACGCTGAAATGTACCTAAAACGCGACCAAGCCGATTTAGATCGTAAGATAAGATTTTGTGTGTAGAGAAAACATATTTATATGTATACATACATGAATCGGCGCTACGCCACAGCCTCACGCGATACACAGAACGAGATAGCTGTTAAATTCATAATGCGGGGATTTTGCGATTGCGCGAAATATCTGACAAACATTCTGCGCGTGAATTGCGTAAAGATACGACACACACTTTCGGATACAAAACAACAATATTTATACGATGCTTTGATCCGATAGGTCGGAGAGAAAATATCTTTTTATCTTGGTTTTTATATACCGTACTGTAGATTGTGTTATAAGTTTTTGAGATAAGAAAAGAGTTTATAAGCTGCTGAGAATTTTTTAATTTTACGATCGCGAAAGAAAAAAATTAGATTAGCAACTGTCACAACGCAATTAGATCGTGTAATGCGACCGAGAAACTGAATGGAAAAAAAAACTCTTGTGTAAAAAATATATAAATACGTTCAAAAGGGAACGGAAGAGGAGGTTTGGCATCACAATTCGAAAAATCTCCCAACAGCTTTACTTTCTTGTTAGAGTACAAAAAGTTTCGCATCTCACTCTTTCTCGGTTTCATTATCAAAAAGATCACAAGTAGAAGTTTAAGGGAATTTAACACAAATGGTGATGGAATTGAAAAAAAAAAAAAAAAAAGAAAAAAACAATAATAATAATAATAAAATGTCTGGAGCAAAAATTCTTTGTGTTGCTACCACTGTGTCCCGTAAATTTAGCTTCGCTCGCAAATAATTCATTAAACGACCTTGCGATACTCCATTTGATCTCAATGTTCCGGAACGTTCTTTTCGCTACGCTCCGGCAATTCACGGTGTTTCTTTGAGCCCGGACTCTTAAAGTCAATGAGATTAAAGCGGCCGCGTACGGAGAGCGCGCCAAAGGATGTTGCAAAAGGTAATTTGATAAATATCACGTATCGTGCTTTATATTCTTTTGTTCGAGAGAAAACGTCGGAGAACACGTCGTGAATTGCATAAGAAATCGTCGCATTGTCTCGCGCGACGTCTCGTCGAATGCCGAGGAGAACTCGGATTGTTGCTGCGAGAAATAACGTAAGTACGTTCCGCATTTATGTATTATATTATATTATATTTAATGTGCGTGTAGAGGTATAAATGTTTATTCTCTTTACTTAGAAACAATTTTTTTTTTTTTTATACAATTTAGCGTGGAGATGATTGATTCGAGAGAGACACGCACACACACACACACACACGTCTCGTCGCTACACGATGTAAACTCAAGACATGACATATAATCGCTGCTGAATTATGCGTTAGCTCTCTCTTATAAATATCAAATAAGACGGTGTTCACTTATTCATGCTCATTCCGATACGTAAGAGAACATCGTGCGCCCCGCACACTCGAATTTGTCAAATGCAGGAACGTGTGCGTTACAGTAGATGGCAATTTCTCTTGTCGCGCATCGCGAATTCTGAAGACATAATTCTCTCTAAATTCGCAATTCTATACCGCACCGCGGCATTACGCCGTTAACTTTCTATCTATCTATCTCTCTCTCTCTCTCTCTCTCTCTCTCTCTCTCTCTCTCTCAGCGCTTTGATATGTTACGTATAACAAATAAGACGAAGCAAAAAGAGTAGATCGCGACAAGTAAGATTATATATTTCGCGAGAGAACAAAAGAGAGACAAAACGATTTGAAGAAAACGGACGAATGCGCGTCAACACGCGCGCTTTTTTTCCACGCTTTCGTGTAATAACGGAACGGAGAGTCGCATTGTTCTTCGCGGCGCAAGAAGAATTGTTCAAGTACATTACGCCGATCGGAATTCAATGCGCGTCACTTTTGCGCGCGCCTCGCCTCGAATTCAATTTATAGATACGAAATTCGTTACCTTTTAAATATTTGTTGATTTGTGAAAAACGAATACCTATTATTTTATTCCAACCGACGTTTCTAAACGATTTTACGCTTGTTGAGCGGTGTCTGCAAGGGGGATAACGTCATAAGGAGAGAAAACGCGCCATTTATCACTGAACTTCACGCCGCGCCTGTGCGCTATCTCTACTACTGCGTGGCGTGCGTATTTGAAATATCCTTTACTGTGAAGTGAATATCGCTCGCGCATTGCAGACTTTTGTTAATTGGTAAAGTCAGGGAAAAAATTTTTGTGTATATACTTCACAATTTAAATTACAATAAAACCACGTTAACAGAGATCGGGAAAATTTGTTGCTAAGGATTAACAAAAGTCAGAAAAAATTAAATCATGTGCATAATTGTAATATAAAATGTTTCTTCTTTGTTTATTCACTCGAAAATATTTTTTTCACAGAACGCAGAAGAGATTCTGTTTAACAAAGGGTTGAAAGGGTTCGTTGAAAACGTGTTTCACATTGTATTTTTCACATTTTTGGTCAGAAGCGCCAGTAGACGCTAACTTTTTTCTCTACGAGGTGAGGGTCGTTCCTGTCGTCTTGTCCTCCAACCGTTTCTTTTACTTGTTCATCGTCCCCGGAATGAATACGGTCCAGCTTTTCTCTCTCGGTGTAAATCGTATATAACTGTCACTCTTCTCGGCAAAGAGGAGTAATACCTCCGAACTCTGTGTAAAACTCCGTTGCTGCTACGTCAACGTAACATCCTACGTGTAGATCCAGATCCGAATTGCGCTATTCGCAATTGTGTCGTCCTGAAACTCGGAACATTTTACAGCTATACGTCTTCTCGAAACTAGTTTCTTAAAAAAAAACTTAAGAGTGCGAAAAAAAATTTCTTGAACAAACACTATCAATTAATATTATAAGCATCTCTCGTACATGGAGAGAGGAACGAGAAAATATATGAGAATAGCAATTGTTAAATCGCGCGAGATAATCTCGTTGCAGGATGTTTTTCGGACAATAATCAAATCTTCCTAAAAAAAAAAAAAAAAATACGGATCGAAATAATTTCAGCGCGTTCAACACGATTCGAGAGCGAGTTGCTTTCGGGAATAGTTAAAAGCGGCGTTTAAGCGACGTTAAAGCAAGAATAAAATAACACTAAATTTACGACGGACCGTGAATCAACATGCTTTATGATTGTTCGGGTAGCGGATGATAAAGGACGGGGGGGGGGGGGGGGAACTCGGCCGGCCAGGTCGAACACAGGAGCAGCTCGAATGCCCGGCAAGGTGGGAGGATGAAAATTGGAAAACTGCATTGTCCACCCGTTCTCTACCCCCACTGGGACACATTCGTTAGTGGGCATCGTCCGCCGACGATAAATTTCGCGTATCTTCCACTTTCCCGTCTTTCACCTGCGCTCAAATTAAAGATCAGCTCGATCGTGATTGCTCTTCGTGCGCGGCTCTCTCTCGCCGGCTCGCGATTGCTTTTATTCAATATTTTCCGGAATATCATTGAATATTGGATAGCAAGGGATATAATTAGATGTATGTATGTAGTGCAACTCCGTTAATTTTCGCGCCGGGTTTTTGCGCCGCATACGGGTCGGAAAAATAGAAGAAAGATATTAATTACAGACGGATGGCAAAGGATGGAACAAAATGGAGAAATACAAACGTTTATCTCTGGTATTCTTCTTCGTTTCAACTTGATGTACGTGTCACCTGTTGGAGATATACGGCATTTTCAACGTGTGGGATTTGTGTGCCGCAGTACGGATTGTGACGCGGTGGCTTCGCTGCCCGTTGCAGCGACTCTCTCGTCCCAGAGAGTGCACTCCGGACGCTTGTTTCGAGGGGCACGTGCCGTCGTGCCGTCGTGCCAAAAATCCTCCCGGGATCGATCCTTAATTTCAAGTCTAGATATGCCTTTTTTCACGGTTTGTATTGTTTTTTTTTTTTTTTTTTGTTGAATATGTTAGATATTGGAGAAGCTATCGCTTCCCGCATGCGTGGGAAACTACGTCCGAGCAAACTACGCGTAGAAAACGAGCGCGGTTTTGTTTGATTAAACGCTTGCGCGAGCCAAATATTTGCGAATCGGATTAGCTGTTTAGGAGGACACGAGGTCGCAGCGAGCCCGTAGTTAAAGCGAGAAAAACGGTGTCGCAAGAGACGCGACTCGCGTACATATCTCTCTTTTGTACATCAAATCAGCGTCTTATCCGGAATGTAATCACTTTAACACCATTGTAAACAATACTCGACAAATTAAAGTTTCCGCGGCGCGCGCACAACGGAGTTTATCTCGCACACGCACGTACGTGCGTTTACAGAGACGCGCGATCAGAGAATTACTCATTTAATCGTTAATTACATATGCCGAAACTCGGCATTTACCGTCGCTTTTCTGCTTACGAATTTAGCTAGGAAACTAGTCCCGAAACGTGATATGATTCAATATACTTGGGTCTTGAGAGTCACTTTGATATTCGTGACGTCATATTTGCAACTGCGATACAGCTGAGGAACTCGGATGAAGTTAATCTTGAGAGACACAGCCTTGAGTTCTGTTTCACACGATTCAATACGTGACTCTTGAGGTTTCGCACAAGCAACCTATATATACACATATATACCCGCGCGCTCCGCCATTCCGCCTATTACGGGAAACTCGATCTCAATTGAACTATATTCGAAATGCAACCGCTGAATTGGTAATCGCGCATCGAGGCGTGATCCTCGAGGTACGAATGCGCAGAGCTCCTGGATTTAAAATAACTATTACATTGATAAAAAAAAAAAAAATACTAATCATATTAATGTGGCAAATAAGCGGTAGAAAACAATCGTTTCGAACAAAATACGTTTTTTGCAAAATAGAAAATATCCGTTCTATTTGCAACTATTCGTTTTGCGCTTGTAATTACAAAATCTCGGTTTCGGCATGCACACATCAACAACACGGTACGTATCGTGTAAAATATTGTAAAATCTGCAAAACGCGCAGTGTAATACATTCAATCTTTCGTGTGCTACCGCGAAAAATTTGCAATATCGTACTAGATCGCATAATAATGCGAAACTTCGGGATAAAACATGTTAAATATTGAACAAGCTACAATGTGGCAAAACACGTGTGGAATTTTATGCGCGGCAAGCTTCATTCGGATTTCTCTACCCACTGTACATTTTTTTGCCGTCGAATTGATGCGATTGATTTTATTTTCCACCTCGAAAACATTTCATATATCACGCGCGTAAGCGCGCGAGCTTTGCGTTTTATTTTATCTTTTTTTTTTTTTTTTTGTCCGCGTATACTTCGTTTCCCTGTGAATCGACGCGCGCGCGAACGCTACACCGCATCGTCGGGAAGGTCTCGATAGCGTCGGACAGGACAAACGGCGGCTAATTTTTGCAGATCCGACGACCCCGCGCGTGACTCAAACAAAAAAGCGGCCGCTTTTGTTTTTTTCGTAAAAAAAGTGTTTGCGATCTTGCTTTGTTAACGGGCAATTCAACTTTGTTGCTTCGAATAAACAACGGTCGGCCAAACGAATGTATCCCTTCTCTCCAATAGCGTTCGCGCGCGCGCGCGCGCTCGCTCTCTATTTCAGCTTCGCTTTTAGCGACCCTTTTCACGCAAATTGCCACGGAAAGCTGGGCCAGTTAAAATGTTTACGAACGTCAACGTTTATCGCAAGAGCTGAACTGAAAATGCGAGCTTTCACAAATTTTCCAGCAATAAGGTATAAAAGTGCGATTTTACCGCGTCACTATTCACGAGTCACTTGAAACTCACACGTCATGAT